ACTTGGTGATCAACTGAATTTATGCCAACTGCATCTCAAGTGAAATTGTCAAGAGGTATACCATCCAATTTCCTAAAATTAATAAAAGAAATATTTGTATTCTGTAGAGGTCATAGTCATTGTACCCAATTTATACCTGTTAATATGACATACATAGTACACTGAACTTCATTGGTCATGAGACCAAGATTTGACCCAGATATGCCTTTGCATATATCCTTTGCAGAATTTTGCTTACAGTATACAGTTTTGTTTGCTTTGTTTCTTTTTCAGTTCAATTTGTATCTCAAATTTTCAGCATATGTTATCTTAAGTACAAATATATTACCTACTTTGACTATATTTATTCAGTAAGGGATGAGGCAGCAGCAATCTTCTCTTCATTCTTATTGGTAAAGTTAATGTGAGAAGTTGTCTAACATCAATGCTAGGCTGACTAACAGAGGGTTTTTCTTGTCTCTTTTTCTATTTCCACAAATATGCAATGCTCAATATCACTCTTAATAGAGAAATTCCTAAGGGATGCTGAGATAATTATTTCCAGTTCCTAATTTTGGTCAGAACACAAACAGGCAAATTTTACCCATGGGGCAATTTCAGGAAGTGAATATAGGTCCAGCTGAAAGGAAGATTATCTCTACAGAAAAGGAATAACTTCATAAACACACATCACATTGGAAGAAAATAGGAGCCAAAAGAAAATGTGAGTTTGATAAGTCATCACTCTGATAATCTTCTGTAAGTTAATACTTTACTTATATCTAGTTATCTCTTTTTACAAATAACCATTTTGTTTTAGATGAGTAGTTTCTTTTACTTCTGTCTTCATTAGAGTCCAATTAATGAGTTTTCTCTAATTATTCTATTCCATGTATTTGTAGTTCCACATCAGAAAATCATCATTCTTTATCTGATAAACCACAAGAATAGAATCCTGCTAACATTGTATAAATATTCCATTTTACTTAATAAGATCAAATATTTATATCTAGTGTGCACCACAGATAAGATAGCATTCAGAATAGAGATGGGAGCAAAAAATGAAGTAAGTTAAGTGAATATTGTGGAAATAAGGTGAAAATATTCTTCCATCTTTTGTCTGATAGAAGAAAAATCAGTCTCTCCCAGGGATAAGCCTCCTAATTTATTGTTAAATATACAGTGGTCAGTCCTGAATCCTTATGCAACAACAAAAATGGATTCAACAAATTGAAATTATACATTTATGCATACACATACATACATATACCCAGATAAGAATCAAGAAAAATGAAGCAATACACTTGAGGGGTAGCATGGGAACACTATGTGAGGATGATATTTGGGAGTGGTTTGAGGGGGAAAGAAAGAACAGGTGGAATTCTACTTCAACTAAAAACATATTTCAATAAGAAAACATACATATAAGCAACAAACACAAAACCAATAAAAACAAAACAAATAATAGAACATAAAAATACTCAATCTTCTAGCAAAGCAAGCTATTTTAAACAAGTAAAATACATCTGTTCAGTCATGAGTGTCTACCACATGGTATCTCTTACATTGTGTAATTATGATTACAACAATAAATACTTATAGTTAGGTAAATACTGAGACTATTACAGAGTTTAGCACTTTGGTAGAAGGGCAATCAATATAGAAAAAAATTGAAAAATGGAAGAAAATGATGAATTTGCTTCTAGACTCATAAAAAGGTTATTCAGTTCATTTCTATTCATTAATTTTTTTATATTTATTATGTATAAACCAACATTAGATTTTCTAGGAGATTTGCTACTACATTAGATGCAAGAATTACAGAGATACTTTAATAGATTAGGATATTTCATTTGGTCTTTGAAGATATATCCTGGACAAGTGAACAGAAGGATAAGTGGTTGTTTTGTTCCTTAAAACAATTTTCATGTTGAATGGGCTTTTGCATATGCATACTCCATAGATATGGAATAAGTATATGAAAACTAAAAATAAGTAGCAATTATTTTAAAGAAAGGTGATTTTATATAATGATGAGAACATGCACTTAATGTGTGTAAGTATATGTAAATATGTGTGTGTATGTACAAGATATGTATGTACAAATATAGAAATACATTCATAGGTACACCCATATGGAAAAGTATATCCATAAATGTATTCATATATGAACATGAATACCTTCCACAAAATGTTCAGATAGATAATAAAATCTTTGGCCATAACTATACAAACAATATTGTTCCAGATACACTAGAAAATATGATTTTAGGAAACAATTCATGTATCACTCTACTCTGGATACTAGAGAGGTTTAGTAATTCCTGTGTGCATATTATTCTATATATTCATAATTCATTATTTAATTTCATATGTAACATTTATTAAGCTTTTGTAATATCTGGCATCATTTTTCCTAGCTTCTAAGTCATCTCCTTGAAATGAAGCAGCCTGAGCATCATCATCTGAGCATGTCTACTAAAGCAGGTCACTCCTATGTATCAGAAGGTAGCTGTAAGATACTTTACATTCACAGAGGTCTGACGCAGTAGTGTCCTACCTCTATATTACTAGAGGGCACAATTTAAAGGCATCACTTGAGACTTGGTTGTACTTTGCAGCAGTAGCAGTCCCAAAGATAGTCTGAAATAAATGAATGCTCCCCCTTAATAATTCCTTTTATTAGTGTCACAGTTCTATTATGATTGTCAAAATTGGGCTCAACAAATGCAACACCAATAGGCACAATGCAGTGGATAGAGAAAGCAAACAAAACAAAACAAACAAACCTCCAAACAAACAAAGAGACAAAAAATAAGGAAAAGAACCCAGCCAACTAAGGAATCCTGGGAGTGGGTGAAGAAGGATATCCCAGGGAAGAACACACCACTTGGTCATCCAATACCAAATGGTCAGCCCTGAAAACGTATTTGCAAGTAACATTACACAGACAGAAGAGTTTGTTAATATAAACAATGAAAAAAGGAATGAATTTCTTTTCTTTCCCCCTTATACTAAACATGGATTCTCTTCTCATGTATTATACTCTGAATACAGTTTCACCTTTCTCTATTTCTCACACTTCCTTTGCATCTTCTCTATTATCTGGATCCACACCCTTTAGGGCTCTCACTAGGAAAGAACTGGCTTCTAGGAGATAAGAAAAACATCATAAAATAAAATATTATAAAAACCATCATATCAATACTGGACAAGTCAAGCCAACAGAAAAATCAAGGATCCCCAGTGAAGGCTTAAGAATCAGAGACCCTCTCATATACACATCAGAATCTCATAAAGCACTAAACCAAAAGGCACAGCACATATGCAGAGGACCTGATGTGGACCCACCTAGGGACCATGCTTGGTGCTTCAGTCTCTCTGAGTTCATCTGAGATTTGTTTAGTTAATTTAGAGGGCCTTTCTTCTCCTCACGATTTTGAAAGAAAACAGGGAGGATCAGTACATGTGAGAAATTGGAGAAAGAAAATAAAGGTAGAAATGTAACTATATTATAATCTTAGAAATTAAAAGAGATAATCCAGAAAAAACTAAAAAGTTCATGTTTGCTTGAAACTTTTTGAGATATGGAATAATAAAAACCCCAAGGTACTCAAGGCTTATGCTGTGTGAACAGTGTATCTTCCTGGGATACTCGGTAAATCTCTGTAAGGCATGTGTGTTTACTTATCTGTCACCATGCTCCTATAATAATTGAATGTGTTACCTGATGTTTTCAGACATTCTTGTTTTTCATCCTTTCTCCACACTTCTAAGTCCTCAGAAAATAGGAATTAAAACAATTATGATTATTTCATATATTATTTTATTGTTTACAAGCTCTAGGATAAAAAACAATAAGACCCAAAATTTGAAAAGCGTCAAGAGACTTACTGAAGGGAGGAGAAGCTGGGCAATGATTATCTACCATATGGCTTGAGTACAAGCACCCCGCTTGTGCTTTGAAGTTGATAATTGATGGCCCCTGGAGGTATAATGTTACACTAACCCAAGGCTGAGAGTCAAAGGACAACTTTGTTTATGTAATACATTCTGCTCTTTAAAACAAAGGTGATCAGTAGATAAGTGATATAATGAGAAAATATGGTGACTATAGAATGATGACAGATGATATATTATTTATTTCAGAAAACGACACTATTTCAAAATCTCAGGGTTCTTAAGATTCATTTATATAATTTAAGATCAATATTTTCCACCACTAGGACTGAGTAAGTTGAGACTTTAAGACTTCAGGTCTGAATATGCTTTGCTGTGCTCTTTGGAAATCTATCCCTACAGGTATTTGCAGTGTTACTTTGCTAATTAGTTTAGTTGAGTAAATGAATTATGTAACATATATTTGTTAATGATTACCTGTGAACCTGGTTTGTATACTTCAATCTAGTATCTGCATATATCTTATATGGTGTTCTGTTCTGCATGTTCCCTCAGTGAGGTTTTGCAATATTTTACTTCATAGATTTAAGCTAAAATTTTAATTTACTAATGTCACAGAATCAATTCTGCTGATGTCAAATGAAATCATTATGCATGATGCCAAAAATGGTAGTATCCTGTCAGACAATTTGCACTGATATTTAATGCAACTCCCCAACACTTTCCAAATTTAATCCTCCTTTTCATTATAATATGTTGTAATTGCTAGTGAAAAATTTAGAAAATTTAAAATTAATAAACCACACACATTTTTGGTTTTTCCATTACTGTCTTGCTTCCTCACAGCTATGCTGCAGAGGAATTTCCTAACAGAGCACAAGTAATACAGACCTAACCCATGCTTCTCTCCTTGAGTTGTGCTCTTGGCTTATTAGCTCATTAGCTTTCAGTTGGGCAACAGTGTCATCATATTTGCCTTCAATTTCATATTTAAATGCATGCATTTCTACACAGGTAAGTTTCAAAGTGAATGTTAAATTCAACACATGAAACAGACTTCCTCATATGGCTGGTTGATGATCTTTCTTTCTTTGCAGGCCATTTCTAACAACACACTGGGAAAAATGGATGAAGGCAATCAGTCTGTGGTGACAGAATTTATACTTTGGGGACTTACCAACTCAAAGAACCTTCAGGTCTTACTCTTTGTGATGTTTTTGATGCTTTATCTTCTCATCGTGTCAGGAAATATTGTCATCATGCTCTTAATTACCACGGACCGGCATCTCCATTCTCCCATGTACTTCCTGTTGGCCAACCTGTCCTTTGTTGATATATGTCTTTCCTCAAACACTACTCCTAAGATGATATCAGACTTTCTCATAGAAAAAAAGACCATTTCCTTTGCATTCTGCATGTCCCAGGTCTTCTTTGTCCATTGTATTGCTGCAGGAGAGATGGTGTTGTTGGTTGTAATGGCTTATGACCGCTATGTGGCCATCTGCAAACCACTTCACTACTTCACCATTATGAACCTGAAAAGATGCACTTGGTTGGTGTTTATTTCTTGGACTACTGGCTTTGTGCATGGCATGAGTCACCTGGTAGTGATTGTGGAGTTGCCCTTTTGTGGTCCCAAGGAAATAGACAGCTTTTTTTGTGACGTGCCATTGCTCATCAAGCTAGCTTGCTTAGATTCCCATGATTTGGATATCCTAACAAATGCTGACTGTGGGGTGGTGGCTGTAACCTGTTTTATTCTGTTGCTCATTTCCTACACATTCATCCTAATCAGTGTTCTCCAGAGTTCCAAATCTGGTGCGTCTAAGGCTCTGTCCACATGCAGTGCCCACATCACAGTGGTGTTGATCTTTTTTGGGCCTTGCCTTTTCATTTATGTATGGCCACTCAACATTACCTGGTTGGATAAATTTTTTGCTGTGTTTTACTCTGTTTTTACACCTTTTCTAAACCCAGCAATTTATACACTGAGAAACAAAGAGATGAAAAACGCTATGAAAAGATTCCTAAGTAACTATCTTAGTTCCAAAAGAAATCCTTAATATCTATAAAGGTAAACTAATTACTTCAAATGATGGACTAATTATATGAAACACATTTCAATCAGGAAATAAAAAATCCCTCATTTTAAATCTATACACAAATGCCTTTTGTATACAATAATGCCATTAAACTATTCTTCTATGTCTCTAGTAAAGTTAAGTTTAACACTTACTGAGAAAATGTGTATGTTTATCTCTGAGTATATCATATTATTAAATTTTAACTCAGTCTAATTTTGTATACCACCAATTTCCCAAAATTGTTCAACTGGCAAATGACCAAAGTTATCACTCTTGCTTTATCACAGCTGTCTAGCAAAACACCAACCCAGTGGGTAGAATAAATTAAGTAGAAAAGAAACAAAAGTTATTAGTTCACAAATTAACAATGGAATATTTTGGTGATATTTTGTTTATGATCTAACAAATAAAGCTTGCAAACCTAATCACAGCCACAGATGACAGGCAGCTATGGTATACACCATTAATCCCAGCAGTCACACTAGTTAGGCATAGAGGCCAGACTGTGGTGGTAGACAACTTTAATCTCAGTACTCAGGAGATGGAGGCAGACAGATCTCTTTGAGTTCAAGGCCACTCTGAGCTAAACAAATTGATCCAAACAAGAAATTGAGCTCACACAAAGGTGATCTCTGCACTTGGGATCCCACACCTTTAATCCCAGCACTAGAGAGGAATATAAGGTGGGAGGAGAGAGGAGCTCAGTGAGTCTGAGGAGCAGTGCTGTTGGGAGCAGTCTGAGGTTCAGAGGATTACCCCTCTGGTCTGAGCATTGATAAAGGTGAGAACTCTCTAGTGGTTGGCTGCTTTGCTTCTTTGATCTTCAGATTTAGCTCCAATATCTGTCTCTGGGTTTTTATTATTCATGCTACCTCTGGTGCCCAACCTCTGGGGAATGAATTCATGAAAAAAAAACCAAAAAACAAAAAAAAACACTAGACTGTGGCTTTGCAGCCACCAGCATAAGCCAGAGTGGGGCTCCTGCTGGAGTCACTGTCCAGCCAGCTAAGTTTTCTTTTCTTTTTTCTCAAAGCCTCTGAGTGAGTTTGGATTTTCCTGTTGTAACCTCTAAAACAGTCTCAAGCTGCCCCCAACTGCAGAATCATCTAGGCTCCAAATGCCACAGGAATTATCTGCCTTAGACCAGATTTTTCTGGCTTCAGGCTGCTCCCACCACACTTGTTTTTTCCACACAATCCTGTGTGCAGTTTTCCAGACAGCCTTGTCTCTCTCTTTCATTTTGTCTCGCCCCCATGCTATGGGTTGCAGGCTTTCCTTACAGTCTCTTTCCTCTGGCTGCTACTCTTAGCTCCCACCTACATGGCCACAGAGGTACCATGCCTCAAAGTTCACTGTCATTGTAGGCATACTTGGGAAGATAACTGGAAATTCTTAAAGGAAGGAATTAGTTAAAAGATAGAGTTCCCCCTCCCCACATTATACATTGAAAAATACTATTACAAAGGAACAACTTAGGTCTCTGTGTGATAATACACAGGGTGATTTAAAAATGAAACAATTAAAAGGGGATAACTAATCTACATGGGAGTTACATACTATCAATTATAAACATCAGTTTTTATCATTTTTGATTCATCATTAATAAAGTTGGTGAATATTGGTGAATATTAGTGCTAAGATACAAGTTTAAAAAAACTTAATAGAACAGATCATTGAGCTAAGCAGACCCAGACAGAGGAGTTTAATGGAGAATCAATTTCAGCATTTCTTTATAAGGTTAGAGAGGAACAGCCTAGTGTAGGGGAAGCTGTAGCCACGCCTACTTAGGGGCTGGCTACAGGTGTGCCTGACCACGCTTGAGAGGGCGTGGTTAGGGTGACATAGAGTGAGACTTTCAGGGGACTTCGTTGCTCTTTCAGTTTCACATTTGTACTTGCTGGACAGACTGCTACCGAGCCGCTGGCTAGGTTGCTCTGTAAGTAAGGCTTTTCCCTATTAAATACCCTTATATTTGTACCTGACTCTGTATTGGTAATTTCCCACTATATCTGGTTGTCAGGAGCGGGATATTGGAAACCTACACCCCATTTGGGATAGTCTGTGGAACCCACTGGGCCTGCGGCCTTGGCAGGGAAAGGTCCCTCTCTTCAAAGGTGTTCCCAGCTCCCAGCCAACCCATGCTACTGAGCTGCTCCCAGCTTGGAGACTCACACAGATCTCTGGTTTTACCACTGTGCTCTCTGGACCAGGTCGGACTGCGGCCTACCCGCACCGGGAGGCCTCCAGCCCTTGAACCGAGTAGGTCTCGGCTTTCAGCAGGTTCCGTGCAGTGGCCTTAAAACTGCGCCTCATTTAGTGGTTGCCCTGCAAGGCCGTATACTCTCTAAGATAAGCGCAGCTGCTTTTGTGACCTCTCTCCACAGCTGCCACACACCACTGCTAAATGCCGCGGACTAACTGAACACCTGTGCCACCCACTGGTCAAAGATAGTTACTACATCTGGAGTAGAAATCAGGTAAAATTATGGCAGAATATTTATCATTTGCTAAAATTGGTGTTATTTTTGCTTATTACGTGAATTCAATGTTTGAGGAGGATGCTAATCTGCCAATTACTGGCCTATGTGCCGTAATGGCAGTTAGCCTGCTGGTACAAATAGTATTACTAGCCAGAGGACTCAGGAACAGGGATAAGGATAAACTAACCACCTACATACAGGAAATAACAGCTATATGCAATGAGGTTTTGGAGAACAGATTAGGTCAGACCACAATTGTGCAGCAAGTGGAACAGAAATTGTATGATAAGCTTGCCTCTGTGTCCAATACGATAAAGACAGAGCTGTCTGTTACCCAAGATGAGATGCAGCATATTTATGCCATGTCCGAGTTCTTAGAGGCTAGGCTGTCAGAAGACCATGGTGAGCTAAAGAATATCTGTGACCAGCTAGAAACTCAGATAGACAATATTACCCAGAAATTAGATGCAAAGGTGCAAGATACCCAGGATAGGGTTGAAGAATTGGACAATGCCATTCAATCAATTATTGAAGCATCAAGGTAGCAGATCACAAATTTGAGTCTAGATATGAATGTTTGGAAGATAATTTATAGTACAGGGCTAAAAGATTACATAGGTCCATAGGTCAATTGCTGAGGACTCAAAATCAGCAAATCATGACCTCGAATCTAGACTCCAATACCTAGAAGGCAGTTTCCATGCCATCCAAATGCTGCCTAAGGATGATCGTATTAAAGACCTAGAAAAACATGTAAATAAGCAGTTAGAGCAATTTACATATTCACTAACATGCTTGGAGTCTTTTATGATTAAGGAGATTGAAACTTTTCAAAAGGATATCATTGCTAGGCTTAAAGATCAGTGGGATGCCTCAGAAGCAGAATCACTCCCATTCCAGGCACCCACTCCAGCCAGGTATCGTGACTATTCTTCTAAGGTTGTTACTCGTACACCATTAGTGTACCCAGCTACCATGGTAGAAAAGCCAGCTTCTAAGAAACACCCTCATGGGCGGATGGCTTATGAATGGCAACATATACAGCTGAAGGATCTTAAGAATATTAAAGAATCAGTTGTCTCATATGGTCTCCATAGCCCATACGTAAAACAGCTATTACATTCATGGGCAACCTTTAACAGAGTGACACTCACAGATTGGGAACGATTGGTAGCAGCTGTTCTTGAGAATTCATGCCAAATCCAGTGGAAGGCATTAGTAAGGGAAGAGGCAAAGATCCTTGAGCATCAGGGCATAAAGGAAGGTTTGGAAGACCCTCTAGAAAAGCTTCTTGGTCAGAGTATTTATGTTGACGCACAGGTTCAGGCTGAATATGATGATGATATACTGTCTCTATGCAGGAAAGCAGCATTAAATGCCTGGGATAAGGTTTGTGAGCTGGGAGAACGCTTAGAAGCTTATAGCAGAATAGAATAGGGACCTACAGAACAGTTCCAAGATTTCTTACAAAGGTTAACTAGGGCAGTAGAATTACAGGTCTCAGATCCAGAAACAAGATAATCAATTATATATACAATAGCTTATGAAAATGCAAACCCAATATGCAAAAGAATACTTTTGCCTTTAAAGATCAGATCGGCTCCGCTAGATGGGTTTTGTATGCAGCCTACATTGACTATAATGTGCAAGATACTGGAGCTTGGGTAGGAGAAGCCATTTCAAAAGGTTTAAAAAGGCAACAGGGAATTAAAAGTTCTAGAGGTGAGGTTACTACTATTATGAGCCAGAACCTTGGGTAGGAAGAGCCTTCCCCTGGAGACCACAAAGGCACCAGGAACCTAGATGTTTAAACTGTGGTAAAATGGGACATACTAAGAGAAATTATAGACAAATAAATTCTAACAAGGCCTCATATGGAAGGCCACTGCCTTCTGGATTGTGTA